TATATGTGAACTGCTGTATGAAAAGTGAATTTACTCTGTAAATCTTCACCCAAATCCTAATAAAAAAAAAAAAAAAGTGAATTACTCTGTAAATTTTCACCCAAATCAAAATAAAATTAAAAAAAAAAACAAAGCTCAGATTTCTCAACAGAAACCATGCAGGTGAGAAGAAAATGGGATGGTATATATACAACACTGAAAGAGAAAAATTTCCAACCAAGAATTATGTACCCAACAAAACTGTCCCTCAAGAAGTACAGACAACAAAGATGAACCCTTTTGCACATATAGTACGCATGCTCAGTGAAGGCAAACACAGGTATATGGGTACATAGATGGGTGGACAGGCTGAAATATTAGGTATCTGTATGAAGTGGAGAGTGCACCCAAGAACATGTATAGGGTTGGCAGACAGTGGTCCAATAATTTTATGTGTATGATCTGAGTTCCCAGCTGTATAATGGGGCTGACAAGGGGCAAGGTTGTAGTCACTGCTTGGTCACAGCCAGCTACCCAGAGGGACCAAATAGTTGAACCTGTGGGCTCAGGACCATAGTCGCAGAGGACATCAAGCTCAATTGGCATAATATACTATACAAATCATTGTTCCACCTTCTACTGTGGTGAGTAGCAACTGAGATCTTAAAAGCTTGCAAGCTGCCATCTAGATGCAACGACAGGTCTCTCCTCATCCAGAGCCAAGAAGAATGAAGAAAACCAAAAATTCATGGAAGCAATCAGTCCTAGCGACTGGTACACCATCTGTTCTGCAGCCTATATGACCATGAGACCAGAAGAAACAGACGGTGCTCAGCTATTACTGTCAACCACTTGGAAGAGGATCTTTGTAGGAGATCCTGGATAGACGGGGGAACAAGGTGGAACAAAACTCAAAATCATTTGAAAAAAAAGGCGGGGAACAGGTTTGCTGGCCCAATAGAGCTTGGTGGAACCACTGAGACTATGGCCCCTAGCTGCCCTTCAGGTCTGGAATTGAAAGGACACCTGTGGCTTCCAGCCAAGCATTAGACAGGCGTACTAGTTGAGCATTTACCTGAGATAGATACACTCCTTGGAGAGAACAAGCAAGAGAGAAAGAAGGGCTGCTCCGGCACAGGGAGACAGCTCAGGGGGTAGGAGTGCATGGAGAGATGGACACAGGGAAGTGGTACCTATCGGGAGGAAGTGGGAGAGGAGATGTTGCATTGTGCTAAATTGTGGTCAATGTCATGAGACAAAGTGTATGTGATCTGCTGTATGGAAAGTGCATTTGCTCTGTAAATTTTCATCCAAATCACAATTTAAAAAAAAAATTGTCCCTCAAATATGATGGTGAAATTAGGACATTTCTAGATAAGCAGAAATTAAGGGAATGTTCACACCAGACCAACCTTGCAAGAGATGCTAAAGGGTGCCCTTCAGACAGAGAAGCAATAACAGCCAAAACTGACCATTAATATACATGATGATATAACCTAGAAACCAACCCAGCTATGAAAGTATCCAAAGTAAATAAGCCTATGAGATTGTAAACAGGGAAGCAGACACATCAGCTGACTAATAAGGACAACTACAAACCAAAGAAAGGGAAAAAACTGTATTGTTACAGAACTTCTAGATGGTAGAGAAGTCAAGACAACTACAAGATAGAACAGACTGTTCTAAACTTGGGAAGATAAATCACAGGGTAACCTCAAAGAAAAATGATAAACCTTCAAATCAAAAAAGAGAACCAGGAGAAATATTCAGCAAATACTAAAACAATAGCAATGAAGGAAGTGATAACACAATTCATAAACAAAATGAGCTCAGCATAGAAATTATATGGAACAAAGAAATCAACACCACGAAAAAGCACATAACAAAAATGACAGCAACAAATTCATTTTTGCCGATAATTATAAATCTGGCAAGGAACTTATCTCTCAGATTTATAGCGGAAGAGTGGATAACCAAACTATGGTACATACACATAATGGAATGCCATGCAGCACTAAAGAATAATGTAGAGTCTACAAAACACTGCCTAATATGGATGAACTTGGAGGACATTATGCTGAGGGAAATAAGTCAATTATAGAAGGACAAATATAGTATTAGTTAGTTTTTATGGATGGTCAAGGAAAGGTTTATATATGGAGGGAAACTTTCTTTGTTGGCTGCTGGGGTGGGAGGGAAGGAGAGGGAACACTGCAAAAAAAAAATGCATTGACCCATGTCACTTTAATTTTGTGTATTTCACTGTACATGAATTATATTTCAATAAAATGCATTAAAAAAAAAACATCATAAGAGAGCTACATAAATGGAAGAACACACCATGCTCATGGATAGGAATAGTGAACATTGTAAAAGTGTCAGTACTACCTAAAGCAATCTATAAATTCAATGCAATCTCAATCCAGATTCCATTAACTTTCTTTAAAGATTTGGAAAAACCAAGTACAAATTTTATATGGAAAAAAAAGGGACCTCAGACAAGCAAAGCACTACTGAAGAAGAAGAAGAAAGTATGAGCTCTCATATTCCCAGATTTCAAAACCTACCATACAGCCATAGTAGTTAAAACAGCCTGGTATTGGTAACACAACAAATATATAGACCAATGGAACAGAATTGAGAGCCCAGAAACAGATCCATCCACCTATGGTCAGCTGATCTTTGACAAAAGGCCAAAATCCATTAAATGGGGAAGATCATATATAATACTGCATTGTCAGTGATAGCAAACATTAATCTACAAATAAATAAATACGTAGACAGACTGAATGATCAAGTATGTCCAGGCAAAAGGGAATATATCCATGATCATTTATAAAGTAAGGAGCTCTGGTGGCACAGTGCATCAGGAATTTGGCTGTTAACCAGAAGGTCAGTGGTTCAAACCCACTAGCTTCTCTGGGGAAGAAAAACGGGGTGATCTACTTCCATAAAGATTTACAGCCTAGGAAACCCAATAGGGGTCACTATGAGTTAGAATCGACTTGATGGCAGTGACTTAGGTTTTTTTTATATATAAGGTTGGCAGGCAATACTTCTACATACATATTTGTATGTACTGTAGGAATGTCCAAATATATAATATAGCTAACAAGGGACAAAGTTATGATAACTTCTTGGCCACAGCCAACTACCCTGAGGGAGTGAGTAACTGGACCTGTGGGCTTGGGCTCATGGTCTCAGGGGACATCAAGCTCAATTGGCATAACACCACACAAAAGTACTGTTCTACATCCCACTACGGTGAGTAGTGACTGGAGTCTCAAAAGTTTTCAGCAGTCATCTAGATGCAACAATGCGTCTTTCCTCATCCATAGAAAAGAAAAATGAAGAACCAAACACATGGAAACAATTAGTACAAGAGACAAGTAGAATATGTGATCTTCAGCCTGTATGACCATGAAACCAGAAGAACTAGATGGTGCCCACACTATCAACCACTCAGAAAGGGATCAGTGCAGGAAATCCTGGATAGAATGGGAGAACAATGTAGAAAAAAGACTCAAAATCATTAAAAAAAAAAAAAAAAAAAAAAGACCAGGTTTACTGGTCTCATACAGCCTGGTGAGACCCATGAAATTATGGCCCTTAGTTACTGTTCAGGTCTGGAATTGAACTCACTCTCATGGCTTCCAGCCAAACAACAGACAGGCATATAGGGTGAACACTTACATTAGGTAGATACACTCTTTAGAGTGATCAATTGTGGGAGAACAGAAGGGCAGTGTTTGTACAGGGAGATACCTCAGGGGGTAGGAATGCACAGCAAAGAAGGACGAAGGGAAAAGGTTAACTACAGAGAGGACGTGGGAAGAGAACTGTTAGACTAACTGTGAGGAATTGCAGTCAATGTCATAAAACAAAATGTGTATGAACTGCTGTATGGAAAATTAATTTGCTCTGTAACTCACCAAATCATAATAAAAATTGAAACAAAAAGAAAAGAAAAGCAATGAACTCAAAGCAACCCAATATTCTGATGACTGGGAGGTCAGAATATCTATAAATCTTTACCTGAAAATGTTGAAATAACCTCAAATTTTGTTTCCAGTGCTGAAGCAACAGATGCTACTTTATCTGCTGCCAGTATGTAGATGTCACCAGAATTGGAACATTTCACAACAGCATATCTAAAATAAAATTTTAGAAGATTATTACTAATAATGAAAAAGTGAAAGCCATAGATAGCATTTTTGTTCTCACTTTAAAAAAACTAACTTCAAGATTAAAAAAAAAGCAAGACTTCATACCATACATTTGTTTAGTTCCCCCAAAAAGAGGGTAGAACTGGAAATAAGACCTTAAAAGGAATCATCTAAAAGTTAATAAAATCTACATGAGCGTAAAATCTAAATTATGGATCACTAAACTAGATAAAAGAGCTCTGGTGGTATACTGCCTAAGGCATTTGACTGCTAACCAGAAGACTGGTGGTTCAAACCCACCAACCACTCCTCGGAAGGAAGGCTGGGCAATCTACTTCCATAGTGATAGCCCCTCGGAAACCCAAGGAGGGGTCACTGTAAGTCAGGTCCGACTCGACGGCAGTACATTTGGTTTGGTTTTTGGAAACTGGATAATGAAAATAAAATAAATTTAAAACAATAATAATGATAGAATGGATCCTATCTGTGGATAAAATAAAACAACAACAAAAAGTATACTACACCTACTTTGCCTCTAACATATAGGAAATAGCCTGGTTAGCTGGAATTGTCCAAGGCTGTGTGGTCCAGACTAAGACACTAACAGGAGATGAGCCATCTATGAAAATAAAGTAGTAAATATATTAGCAAATGGCATAATTCATTAACTTCAAAAAAATTCAGCAATGAATAAACTCACCTAAAAGAGAAGCCAACACAGGAGAAGGTGTCAAAATAGGGAATTTTACATATATAGAACGACTAACGTGCTCAGGATTATACTCAAGTTCCGCTTCAGCCAATGCAGTCCTAAAGGTTAAAAATCTTAGATATAAACACTTGGAAGCATAACAATTTTCTCCCTTTTAGTTACCAAACACATATACAATACCTTGAAGAGGGAGACCAAAACACAGGCTTGTAAGCTCGATAAACCAATCCCTAAAAAGGGCAAGGATACTATATTAAAGACAGAATTTTGTAACACATCATGTAAATTACTAAAAAGAAACAGAAAATAAATACCTTTTCATACATGTCATAGAAAATTCTCAACTGTTTGGCCTCATATTTTTCATCAAATGTATAGTAACAATTATTCCAATCTGCCATTATTCCCCAACGAGTAAATGCCGATTTCTGTTTCTCAATGGCTGCTTTAGCATATGATCTAGCTGAAAACAAAAATGGTTTCTTTTGAAAACCAATTAACTCAAATTCTTAAAAGTAGTCTAGCATTATCTCTCTAAATGCAAGTGTTGTACAGTTAGACTGGAAAAATTTTTAACTGGAAGATTATTTTGAAAGTGGTCAGAAGATACAACAAAATAAAACAGTAAATGGAATTTCAGTGGTTAAAATTTTATTGTCTGCTGCATTTTCCAGGATGACTTTCCATTTAGGAAAAGAAAAAAAATTCTGCATATTTCTTAATTTAAAAAAATGTCACAGATAATTCTTACTTTGTTATACAATTGAAAATTAATCAGTATGCCTGATCTAAGCCAATAATATTATGATCTTTCACAAGGAAATAAAAGATTGTCACAATATCTGAATATGCTATAGTATAGTATACAAAGAGATTCCTCCCTAACTCAATTTACTAAAATAAAAGATCAAATAGGAGATTAATTGAAAACATGTGTATTTTAGAATTTACTTTTGGTTTAGCAGCTGAAATTGGTCAAAAGTCCTAGTCAGGAAAGTAAATAAAAACACTGATCAAAACAGTAATTTCATAAAATATGAAGGCAAAAGAATTGAAAATGAAAAATACACTTAGAAAAGCAAATTCCTTCCGTAAGTCTTCAAAATGTATTTTCTCACAAAATTCATTTCAATAAATCTGAATTTTCTGTGACACAAAGTGTTGTCCAGACTTCATTATGAAACAAAAGAAAAAAAAAGGAAATTCCCTTTAATAAAGCTTTGACTTTTCCAAAGGACCAATAAATGTTTTCAAACATCACTTTAAAATGGAAATAGAAATTATTTACCTTTCCCTCTAATTTCCACAGCTGAAAGATTCTGAGCTTTTTCACCAAGTTCTGATAATACTTTTATCTCAATGGGTAACCCATGACAATCCCACCCGGGCACAAAATGTATTTTGGAACCTTTCATCATATGATACCGGTTGACTATGTCTTTCAAAATCTGTGAAGATAAAATGATAAACACCATAAAGCATGTGGCC